GCTTGTTTGCCTAAATATTTAAGCATTTCAGGGCGCATGGATTCCAAATGCCTTGCTACCTTTCAAGACTTTTACAGCTTCTGGGACATTATCTACTGAAAGACTATTATGCGTTACCTGCTGGTTTTCATTCGTGTCTTCCTGTAGTTATTCGGGGTTAAGCAGTTCCTCAAAATATTCTCTCCATCGCCGAAATATGTCTTAATCCATGGTAAGAGGGCCCCTAGACCTGTCCTTCAGGACTCTTAGACTGTCTTAGAATGCCTTGTTTGCCTCTGGAAATTCGATTCCAGCACCTCACCGAACTTCTCCCAGGAATCAGCTTTTGTTGCAGCCACTGCTTTCGCAGCCGCCTTGCGCGCTTCTTCGTACTGCGTGCGAATTGAAGGTTCTTTGTTTTCAGGTCATCATTTAAATGCAGCCTTCTTCTTTGCCACAGCTAGTTACACATCATGTGTCCACCAGGAAGTTTGTTTCTGACGTCCAGGCGGCAGGCCGTCCAATGTTAAACCACAGCATTGGGAGGTAGCCCTGAGTGAGCCGCTGTTAAAGAGTTGCCACTCGGTTTCCGCATCAGTAGTCATCACCGGATCTGTTCAAATAATCGTGCGATGTTGTTTGCAAGTTTTGTCCTTGCCTTTCTTATACGAACCTGGGACTGGCAACAGTTCTGTTATGTATTAAACATTAAAGTTTAAACATTAAAGTATATATATTTGCCAGCTCGCAAGTTGTGATGAAAGTGAATTTGCTTGCTACAAGACGGTCAGTTGCCTAAGATCTTGACTTTGTCGCTATGAATCTTGCATAGATTGGCAGTGGCATGTGGCAGAAAGTTTTCTTTGTCCATGTTCGAAAGAAGCTGCGTTTCCTGTAAAAACGGCGTAAAACACGGTTTGCTTATGCACAACGCAAAAGATACTTGATCAGTCCGGTGACTGGCCAATACCAGCGTTTCGGCAGGTGTTTCGCGGGCCTTTGAAGGTAGGTTAGTGGTGAAATTTCGTGAATGTGATTGGTAGAAGGCTTTCTGGCTCCGAAACTATCGACTGCTGCGAACTACCAGTCACATTCACGAAACTTCACCACCAACCTCCCTTGAAGAAAGCTCGTGAAACAACGGCCAATACGTCGGTACTGGTAAGTTGCCAGTCTGACCACATTATCTTTTGCGTTGTCTACAAGTAAGCCGTAGTTGACGTTGTTTTTTGCAGTATTAAACCACCAACGCACGAACGAATTACTCCATATTCTATGAAGCGAAATTTAACATATCATTTTTGTCATTTCGGTGTATGTTTGAACAGCTTTAAGTAAGTGTGCTAAT